TCAGCTCAAAAAGAAATCAGTTAACTTAGAGTACCAAAAAGATGCCACAATTCTATGAGTCTTGTGCTGTTGATTAAAACATTGAGTCAGCAAGCAGCATTTCCAACATCCAAATGTAGATCTGCAGACACTGTGACACAGTTATTAAAGTTTCGCATTGACATTGGAGGCCCATTTCCTAGAGGCAGGTAATAATTACAGAGTGGTGGCACTTTCAAAAGAACTCTTAATGCTAAACAAAATCAATACGAGGCAAAATTCACACCGACAGCAGCGACGTGAAAAATCATGCAAGCTGTTATGGGGAAGTTTGTTACTAGCATTCCCTTTGAATCGTAAGCTCTGCTTTTGGACTTACGCAACTCACAGCAGCTATTTGAAACACTGCTTAGAGTTAGTTTGATTTCATAGCAGTTGAGAAATACCAAATTTCAGACATATTACATCCAATAAACAAGAAAAATACAAAAAAAGAAAACCTATAAAACAGGTATTTGCTTAAATATCTGATGTAGATGCGGCTTGCATATCTCTCACTTTTTAAATTAATTTTAAATGGGTTTTCACAGCTTAGTACTTAATTATTCATTCTGAAACAACAAACGAAATATGAAATTCTACAATGAAAATCACAGTTCATATTATTATTTTATTAGTTATACAGCAGCAAGAGTTCTGGACACTTTATAGATAAATAAAACAGTAAGTCTTAAAGAAAGGACCAAAAGCCAAGATAAAATTAAAACTGACAACTGCATGCATCTAACATAACAGCAGTAGAAAGTGGAAAGAGACTCTTGCTATCACACCGGGCAACTACTGCAGTTATTTTAGATCTTGTCTGAAGCTCTTCATCTAGGTTGCCTTAGCATTTACATTAAGGTTTAAATAAGTGCCCAGTTACTTTTTGAGAATTACGACTTTGAGCCATCCAGAGTCCATGAAAACCTAAGTAGAGTTTAACTTGAATGAGGTATGAGAGATTCTAAGAGGTAAAAGCCTAAGTAGGTGGTGCTTTTGCCAAATATACTGGTGCTGCATGGGAAAAAAGATGGCAGAATGGATCACCATTCAGAATTCAAGGGCACAGGGTAAGCCACAGGTCTGCTTAGAGAGAGTTGGTAATCCTGTAGCCTCTGTACGCAACACCTTTTCAGGTGCATGGCATGCTAACTGTGCAGCACAGGCTTTTAGAGAGTTCCTAAAAAGATTAAAAGGGAGCAGGAGAACAGCATCCCTTCTAGTTTTTAAAAGAATTTGACTTGGGTGAGAAGTTCTCACCTGCTCCCTGCTAGCATACACTAGTCTTCGAAGGGCAGTGGGAAAATTGCATAAAGCTAACATTTGGAAGACCCAGGGTTTGGCAGACAGAATTGCACGGGTGGAGGCAGGAGGTTGGGCGCTTTCACGGAGGATTAACTGTGCTCAGAATTGAGACTTCACCCTTTCTGGTTCCCCTTGAATCACGCCAGCCCTTTTCCATTATAAAGGAAAGATGCCTTTACAATCTGCATTTCACATCACATGCTTGATCATCGTACAATCTGGAAGCACTAGTGTGAGCCGTTTCAGAGGCCGCAGGGGCACTGGGAGAGCCGGAGAAGAGGAATGCGCTGACAAATCATACGCTGAAGTCAATAGACTCAGGGACCTCATAAAGTATCCAGAACAACTGTGCTGCACACAGAGAAGGATGACATTAGGTTAGATAACAGCACAGCTGACCATTTATCTACCGCGAAAGAAAGCAACAACAGTGCCAAGATATTGTTCTCCCTTTGAGATTAACTTCTCCACACGTTACAGACTGATGAAGTATTTTCTAAGTAGCAAAACAATGCTCAACAGTGCAAGATTAGTTAACTGCTTCCCTAAATCCCACTCTCGTTATTAATTCATACATGCTAAAAGTGGTTCTACTTAGCTATGTTTCCAAAGGGTTTATCAAAGCATGCGAAACTTAATGGCCATCCATTTTATTTGATGAACAAAGAAAGACTTTGATTTTAACTTTTTTAGTGCCACAGTGAAAACACAGTCATTTCTACAAAGGAAAAACTAAAGTCTTCATTCTTCACTGAATGAAAATCTCTGAAATCAATAGATGTTTTCCTTGCTAACAGAAGAGAAGTCTTTGAACTGTCTTTTCTTCCTGCTTTAGAAAACTTGCTATGGAAAGAAAGATCTGATGTGACAATCAGCCTTGGAACACAGCATCCTGAAGAACAGAGCATCCCATGACAACAGTGCTATACCTAGGTATTATGGCTCGGGGAACAAGTAGCTTATATGCTTCAGTGTGTGTATATACGTATCTGTATCCTTCAATTTTCCTAGATTATCCATTTTTGTATAAAGAAAACCTTCACAATGGGACATACAAGAATTGTCGCCCTATTAAATCATTCCCTTTATCCTGCACTGCAACAGAAACAGGCAGGTTCTCACAAACCTCACTTATACTACTCACACAACAAGGTAGAACCTGTCTTCTTGACTGCAGGGAACAAATGAACTGATACGCTGAGCTGTGTGACTTGATACTTGTCACCAGGGCTTTCATCTGAACAAATACCTAAATGTTATTAA